AATTTAACAAATGAAACATTGACATGAATTTGAGTTGAACTGATGTTTGCTTATCTTTAGTTTGTCCTGCAATATTACCTTCCAGTTCTCAGCACTATCAATGCATTAAAATACCAACTCAACCATTTTCGAAAAGGTAACACAAACATTGTCTCACTATTTTTTTCTCTTTTTCCTTACTTACTTACGTACACATTCACACATCAAATTAATGCGCACAAACAATATTTAACATGGTGAAGCAAAAGCTCCCTTTTCTTTCACAATAAATACAGTGGGTGTCGCATTCAACGAGGTCACATTCAACGAGAAGTCGGCTCCAACGAGGTAATCATTAATCCCCGATTTTCCTCTATATCTCTTTGTAAATGTACGTCAGCTCCAACGAGGTTGCAAATGGACAGAAGTCGCGATAACCAAATAAAAGCAATTAGCGGCCCCAAAAGCGAAAAATGTTTCTCCTTTCTCTCCATCTCACGTGAAGCACAAGGCCCATCCTCGATTCCTAACACATTGTATTGCTAGATCTAGTGGGCCTCCTAATACGGGCCCAAAGCCAAGAGGGTGGGCCCAAAGCCAAGAGGGTGGGCGAGGGTTAGCCTACGGTAGGGATGGGTTGGAACGCTATGCAGGCTGTGCAAGGAGCTTAAAACAACTGTATAACCGCCTTGGGGCTGTATGAAACTGGATGAACTCTGGATGGGTAGGTCTAGATCGAAACCTTCATCTTAAAAAATTTTCTTCTCTTTCCCTGATCTGAAAATCCAAGCTCCTGCCTTCACTTTATGTAGATCTAGGCCTAGATGTGAGAGGGTATGTTTCGACACGAGAAGTGTTCCAGTAAAAAAATATATAATGCAGAAATAACGGTCAGAAAACAGCTCAAACTCGCGACGCTGATGATGTTTGAGATTTTCGTCATAAGGGGTAACAACTGTTTAATTACTGGTATTGGTACATTGTGTAAATAATGTATAATAACATGTCTCCTTTCTTTTCTTTAGCCTTTGTCACGTTCAACGAGAGATCAGATCCAATGAGAACAACAAGCCGGTCCCGGCAACTTCGTTGAATGCGACACCCACTGTATTAGTCTAACTTGTCAAAAACGGCCACCTTTGCTGAGAAGGAAAGTGATTGTCTCAGACAGGTAGACATCTTGGTGAACAGTGTTATTGTTATCATAACACATTAAAAAGTGCAAGGCAGAGTGGGAAATGGCTGTTTGCACAGGTGACTGTCTTGAACAGGTGACTGTTAAAGCAGATCTCACTGTATGTACTCTGGCTAGCACAAAGAAATACATTCACAGCACAATCACATAGCACCAAGCTGGTCCCTTTCCTATCATAACCTCAGTTATGAGGCGTGCTGGCAAAATGAGGTACATCTTACACTCCAAGAATGGAGATACTTTTACTTTTACTTTTTTTAACTTTTTCATCCTCTGTTACCGTTAAGCGTCAAGGGGAGATGCAGTTTTCTATGGTAGGCCAGCTCCGCAGCTCTTTCAGTTGTGATGTAATGTTTTCTTAGGGTTTCCTTGACACCTTCGATCCACCTTTTGCGTGGCCTTCCTCTTCCTTTATAGCTTGAGTGCTTGGTGTTGTAGGCTCTCGAGGCTGGCTGGTCAGGTGACATGCGTAACAGGTGGCCAAACCATTTTATCCTCTGTCTTTCTATGCAACGCAGGCAGGACTCAGTGCCGATAGCTGCTCTTACTTCTTCATTTCTTTGTCTGTCTCGTCTTGTGATGTTAAGGGTTTTGCAGTGACATTTCATTTCGCATGCAGTGATTTTGCTTTCATGGGTTTTGGGTAAGGTCCAGGTCTGGCACTGATAACATAATGTTGGTATGAATATTGAGGTGATAAGCTGTCTCTTTGTGTCCATGGAGATGTTTGGATGAGATAGGAGGGGTGTGAGCTGGTAGGTGACAGCGTTGGCTTTTTGAGTGCGCATTTCTATTTCTCTGTCTATGGATCCGTTTTCAGAAAAAGTGCTGCCAAGATATTTGAACCCCTTCACCTGTTTCAGTTGTTTACTATTGACATGGATGTTCAGGGGACTATGGTTTCGGCTCACTTTCATAACTTCTGTTTTTTATGTGCTTATTTTCATGTTGAATTTCTTACAGGTGTTGTTGAGTTCAGTAGTGTGATTTTGGAGGCTTTGTTGGTTATGATGGTCGTCTGCGAACAGAAATTCATTTAGGCTTTCTGGGCTTTGGTTTGCTTCTTGCGTTATTGTGTCCATATATATTATAAACAGGAGAGGAGATAGAACGCATCCCTGTCGTACTCCAGATCTTACTTTGAACCAGTCTGTATTGCCTTCCTTCATTCTTACTGAGCTTCTGCTGTTGGTATATAGAACTCTGACATTATCTAACATTTGTTCTCTGACGACATACTTTTCGAGGGTCTTCCAAAAAACTTCCAGAGTTTTGCATGGTTTACTCTGTCAAAACCCTTCTCCTGGTCTATAAAGACGATGTTGGATTCTTTGTTGTGTTCGATTGTTTTCTCGCATATCTGTCGTAATGCGAATACAGCATCCGTGCGTCCTCTTCCCTTTCGGAATCCAAACTGAGCTTTGCACAGATTTCTCTCTACAATAGGTCTTATGCGCTGCTCTAGTATCTTCGCATACATTTTTCCTGAGTGGCTTAACAATGAGATGCCTCTGTATGTTGTGCAGTCGCGTTTGTTGCCATTTTTTTTGCATAATGGTACCACTATGGCTTTCTGCCAGTCTTCTGGGCATTTTTTTGGGTTCTCAGGCTCATTTGAAAATTCGCCTCAGCCACAGTATACCGGTGTTTCCACAAACTCTTATGGCTTCCGCTGTGATGTCATCTGGTCCTGGGGCTTTGTTCTTGGGGCTGGTATTGAGTGCCTTTTCTATTTCACTGGGAAGTATTGGTGGTTCTGTTTGATCTCCATATGATGGTTGGAACTCTACTTGTTGTCCATGGCAAGCGTCAGGGTTCAGCAGTTCTTGGAAGTAATTTTCCCATCTTTTCTTAATTGCATGTTTGCCGACAATGGCGTTTCCCTCTTTGTCGTTTATAATGCATTTCGGGTTGTAAGGGTCTTTCCTTATCCGCATGCTCTTCACACTTTTATAAAATTCTCTTGGGCTTTCCATGCAGATTTTGGTCAGTTTCTCGCCAAATATTTTCCATGCATTTCCTTTTGCAGTTTTGATGATTCTATAGGTCTCTCTTCTCGCTTTCCTGTATTCTATATAGTCTTCTTCAGTCTTTGACTTCTGCCATTTCTTGAATTTCTTCTTTTTCATTCTAATTGCTTATTTGGTTTCATCATTCCACCAGCATGTTGTTCTGCCTTTGTTTCCACCTACATGTATTCGTTTTGTGCCACAACTGTTTTTCAGTATTTCTGACAGGGATTTTTTGAATATTTGCCATTCGTCTTCTATGTCCTTGATCTCAGGTGACAGTTTAAAGTACTCCTTGGTAATGTCATCCTCGACTGCTTTCTTGATGTCTGGTTCTTCCAATTTTCTTAGGTTAGTCGTGGGTTTTCCCCTGTTCTTCTATGTTAGCTTTACGTTGTTGGTTGTGAGAGTAAGTATCACAGGTCTGTGGTCCGTGTTGATGATGTAGTTTGAAACCGCTCTCGAATCTTTGGCTGTATGTCTTTGTTTTCTGCGCATCAGGATGAAATCAATTTGTGACGCATGGTGCAGGTCACTCCATTTGTACCAGGTCTTGATTTGGCTTTGTCTATGTTGGAAAAATGTGTTCGTAATCATCATGTCGGGTTCAGCGCATAGGTTTTGTATCATTTCTCAATTGCTGTTGCAGTCTGTATCTTTATCGCTGTGGGGTCCCAAGTACTCTTCCCAGGGGGTTCTTCTTTGTCCAACTCTGCCATTTAAATCTCCCAAGATAAATATCTTCTTTGTTCTTGATGGTGTTAACATGGTCACGCAGGTCTTGGAAATATGATTGTCTATCTTCCTCTGTATAGCTGTCGTTACAGGGAGCGTATGTTTGGATGTACGTTGTTGTTTTGCCACCCTCTATGAGTTTTAGGCTCACTATTCACTCTGAGATATGATTGATTTCATAGATTGTATCCATTTTGGCTGGGTGTATGATGAAAGCTACACCGTGTTTGGCTCTCCCATTTTCAGGTGTTCCGCTCCAGATCAGGAGGTAGCCTTTATGGGTCAGCTTGCTGTGGTTGCCTCTCTTCCTTATGTCTCACAAGTCCATGATTGCTATTTTCTTTCTTTCCATGAAATCCACTATTTCTGGTTCATTGTCTCCAAGTCCGCTGACATTCCATGTGCCTATTTTAATCATTGTTCTAACTCGCTGTCCGTTTACTTTTCTTGGTCGTTTTCCCGTTTGAATCTGTCCATGTTTTCTCCTTTGATTGTTTCGTAGCATTAATTATCCGCCATTGGCTTGCTAGGCCAGTCACGGTTTCACCAGAGCCCCTTTAGCCAGCAACGTTTCGGGGTGACCCAGGTCGGCCTTCACTGCTAGCGTAACGCCTCAGTTACATAAAGTCACACCGTACTTCACCCAGACCCAGCTATCCCCTACTTTGTCCTGTTTCTACTTTCCCCGACGAGGACGAAGGGTTGGACTTTGGGAGATATCCGCTGAAAATCAACACAGTGAACAAATTGGTAGATTTCCAATGGATGCCATTTTCTTCAAGTTTAAATTGCCTTTTATAATTTCATGTACAAACCCAACCTGTAAGTTTGATGTATGTAGCCATGTCCACAGGACTCAAATCTGAAAAGTAACTCATTTTGTTCACGACACACCTCACATTTGGCTGTGAGAGGAGGGGTTTACCCTTTGGGTCTTTGTCACTCTCAGCAGCAGATTTTAAGGTTTGAGATCTTCAGGAAGAGGCGGGTCGGTCGAAGCCCACTCCACTTCCCTTCTTATACAGCCCAACACGCATCATAGCAAAACATGCACACAGCGAATAGATTTTCAGGCTTCGAATTTGTTCTCAATATGTGTATATTCTTAATATTCAAATCATGTGCACAGTGAAATTCGTACATGAGATTGAAAAGTTTCTGAGTCTGGTTGATTTCGCCTTGTGCGTGCTAGGCTGTCTACGCTGTATTTTTATTGGATTTCCTCTCTTCGTTGAAATGTGAACAAACACAAGGATAGCACATGCACACGTCTTCATCTTTCGTCTGTTCCTCCTATAGGAGAACAAGAGCCAGCTGTCCCCTGCCTCAGACTCTGGATCCTCTTACAGTCTTGTGCCAGCTCGATAGACTGAAAGGAATGACATTAAAAAAAAAAAATTATACAGATGTGAGAAACTGTAAAGTACTGCTATGTGAGTTTTAGTTTTTTTAAAAGTTTTTGTAACAGTTTCATAATCACTTGCAGCACAAGTCATAATAAGTGTTGGAGATTAGAGGCGTTGCTTGAGAATAACATACAAAGACAAGGAGGAGGAGAGATAAGGACGACAGATGTTTGATAGGAAAGAAGGAGCAAACTACACCTGAGCACACACCAACAATCTATGTGAAAATACCAAAAGAGTGTGTTCTTCCCGGCAGGTTATCTATGTGTGAAGAAAATCAAAACCAGCACAGAAAAGTCCCCACACAATCTTTGTTTGGTATGGCTTTAGTTCACTTTGATGATCATTAAAACAGTGAAAACACTGGTGACCAGGCTGAGCCTTCAGATTTATCATCCATCTCCGATAGGACTAACCCAGAGCCTCGGAAACTCCCAAAACAAACCCATGTTCAATAAAAGGACTCAAAATGAAGTCATCTGTGCTATAGTTCAGCATGACGACAGTTGAGCTAACTATCATCAGTATGTCCCCGGTCTTTGTATCGGCATCTGCAGTGTGGTGGTTAGGTGCTTCACCATTGCACACAGGAGACCTGGGTTTTATTCCCAAGTGGGGAGAAATGGAGAATTTCTATCGAGTATCTCGGTCTGTCTGCTGGGATGTTACTATTTCCCTCTTCGCCTGGGTTGGGCCGGACAGACATGAAGCCCACGTACTAAATGATCAAAATTGTGTCAATGGGGATGTAAAAACACCTCTCTACAACATGCTCTAAGCTCTGTAAAACTAATATTACTCCAGCAGACCCTTGCACTTGTAGAAACATTCTCGGCTTCCCAAGAAGCATACAATGCAAGCTGCGGATTTCACACATTCAAACACTCACAAACTGAAAAGATCTTTTGCTGTCTACAACGCCCTCAAACACTCACTCTGAGAAAACCTCTCCCTGTCTATCAAAAAAAACAGACAAGACCTCTCCCTGTCTAACGTACAAACAGACAAGACCTCTCCCTGTCTAACGTACAAACAAGACCTCTCCCTGTCTAACGTACAAACAGACAAGACCTCTCCCTGTCTAACGTACAGACAAGACCTCTCCCTGTCTAACGTACAAACAGACAAGACCTCTCCCT